ATTTGTTCCTCTATTTTCAGCGAATTTCTTGGGGCATCTAGTCGCAATAAATATCCAATAATCACATCGGAACGCAATTATTTTTACTTTGAACTTACATCGTAGCGATAAGTAGGGATCTAAAGCTGATGAAAATCACATTTGTCAACCTACATACAAATATAAATAGTTAATTGGTTCTACTGGTAGCTTAAGGAATTCGTCTTTGAATGAATTTACTTTAAGCACATTTCCTTTGGTTGCTTGATATTTCAACCACAAAGAAAAACAAAACAGAGTTTCGCGGCAGTATGTTAATCTTACTCCTAAATGTGAATCATTCCTTTCTGATTTATTGCAATAGTAATAACAATATATGCAAAATTGGAATTTGAATAAATACATAGTATTTTATAAAATCGGACATATTGTCATAACTAGTTTTGTAGGATCGGAACTATCGCTTCGTTATTTTAAGTCAAGTTATTTAATATCAAATTGCACAGATCTTGGTAGTAAATTGGTTATAGAAGCAGATACTTAATATATGTCTAAAAATGAAAATAGTTTTAGCAGCAATGTCACTTCGCGCCGCACCCAGCATCTTATAGTAGTTTTAAAATGAAGATTTTGAAATTAAGATTATTGACATTTGGTAGGTTTTAGCTGGTTCGTTGTTGGATAGGCTACATCATAACCAAAAGTATTTAGGTACAATTACAAAAAATGTACGGCTGTGCAGTATTATAGATATTGTGACCTATTAACTTATGGCAAATTGTTAAAAGATAGGCACTTTTACTGATAATATATTTTGGCATATGCCAAAATATTAGTGTTTTTCCCCGAGCTTCGTAGAAAGATAGACTTAATGCCACGTGATTTGATAACGGTACGAGTAAAATAATTATCAGTAGAAGAAGCAATATATAGACAAAGTAGAATTTAATAATCGCATTGTATATTTGATTTTACCAGATGTGAGGTGATGCAACTATAAATAATAAAAAATAGATAAATTATGACAACAAAAACTCATCATCATCAACAGCCTTTAATAGTCCACTGCTGGACATAAGCCTCTCCTTAGAAAGAAGGTTTATTGGAGACTCTGTTTATTGATGACAAAGATTATTGTAGATAAAGTATAATCATAATATCAGCGCTCTGTTATTGGTGATTGTTTTGCCTTCCTTGTTTGTTGACGCTTACATATCGATGATAGCTTGTGAGCTTTTCCTCTATAAAATTGATTTTGTCAGTGTTGGTTTACTTTAAAAACAGGTGCTGCAGAACACAGTAGCCTTTTCTTACATACATTTGTTTTGTGGCGACTTCCACATACCATGAAACAAAACACACTACAGCGCCATCTAACGGAGACACGCGGAACTACAGCATAACTGCTAATCCTGTATCGCAATGTGAATAATTCTCACGCCGATTAGTCTATAAATACAAGTTGAATAGATATCTAAATCCCAAAAAAATTTAGGCATAATTATGTGACTTGCAAAAATATTATAATTATGTGCTTCTTTCAGATAAAACAGTCACAGTTAGAAATAATATTAAGATAACTGCTAATCATTTATTTGAGACCTGACTATTTTTGTTGCTTATGTTATTTCCTAAACAATTCTATTGTTATTCGTCATGAAAGACAATTATAAAATTAGTAAATTCCATTATATTTCTAACTGCAATCAAAATAAACTGCTAACACAATTAACAAAAATAATTCAGTCTGTCACCGCCCTAAGTTAACTGAAACCCTAGGTATGGCATCTAGGGTTTAAGTTAACTAGGGCGCTGACCCATGACTGGATACATATTATTCGCCCAGTATAATCGAAAGTTAGATCTTTTGAAATTCTGACCAATTGAAAACAAACAATAAATTAATCTGAGCTACTTATACAAGAACTATAACCCGAAAGCTCATTTGTACTTTGTGCAAAATTTAATATTGTTTCAAACTTGCTGAGTTTAATTAACTATATGTCAGTAAATATTTTCGTCCTAAACACTGTGACCTTATTTACATGGTTCGCTACATTCCTTTAATTTGGGGATTTGAGTATATCGCAGCACTTCTGAGTTGCGGACGTCCGGACCGTTCGTTTCCGTCCGCCTAATTTACCCTGCGACACACTATCTTCCGGCTAGTTCTCTCTATACGTATATCAAGTAACTGTATCTGTGCCGTTGAATATTGAGTCTGTGCGATACGGAGTTTAATATTTCATTGAAACTAAAATAAAACCCGTTGTCAGGCCGTTTTAATAATTCTCATATCATGGCTTATGATTCATCATCATCATCCTCAACAGCCTGTAATAGTCCACTGCTGGACATAGGCCTCCCCTTAGAAAGGCGGTTTTGGCCTACTATACCATGCTCGCCAGACGGGTTAGTATAGGGTTTGTGTAAAGTTTTCCTTCTCTTTGCAGTGCTGTTGCCCTGCATAGTTTGCTCTCTTAGTCTACGACACCCACAAGATGAATAGGGGCACTCCGTATTCTTAACACGTTACCACATCAAATATTAAGATTTAGGAGAATATTATTACTTAATAAACCGCATGGCGCAAGCGACATAGTATTTAAATGCGACGTAAAAATATCTGAAGGTAAAAGGTTAATTTAGGTTATGGACTGTTTTTTTTTACTGTTTTCGAAATTTGAATGGCTATTGTCCAGGACTACTGAAGTAATTGATTAGATATATCTACTAGTATACTCTGGTGAAATAGTAGTATTATTAACTAAAAGCTAAACGGCAGAAATTGTTTTACTGTATTTGAATTACGTACATACGTAAAAAAGTTCCTAGCAGATACTTGTATTTCATCGACAGCATAAGACCGTCCTAAGGAAAAATATGAATGATAAAATCTCTTAACTGCCTCCATAGCATTTAGAGGAGGTGACATATAAAAACTTTGTTTTCGCAAATGCGGAACCAACGGAACTGTTTTCGCAGAAAATGGGAAAACACCGTGAAAACAAATAAAAGGAATACTCTTTTATTGTTATCTTAGTGTAATATCAGATAATTTACCTTTTTACGGTTGAATAGTCCAACGAAATACCCGTGCGTTATTGTTATATTCTTCCAGTTTTGTACGTTGGTTAGTTTTTCTTATAGGACTATGTATGACAAACCAAGTGGGTGATTTTGTAAATTATGTTAAATTTGGACCTATAATATCGGAGTCGGGAGTCGGATCGTCTTGTTTCAGATAAAATATTTTTATAGAACTTTCTTAATAAATTTACATTTCCGTGGCCATTTCACACGATAAGTTATAAACGGGAAATTTACCAAGTTTATTTTAGGGATTTGTTTTTGATGTTTCGGCACTGTTGCAAGAGCCTTGATCACGAATGAACTATCGTTCGTTCGGTTCTTATTAAATTACCTACTATGTCTGATATAAAAATATCTAAATACTAATACGAAATTAATACTAACCTATTTACTACCTTAGTCAGTGGGTTCGATATAGATATACTCTCAGATTTAATTATAAACTCTGTTTTATACAATTCATTTGCAGAAACTTATTTTAATAAGATCAGGATGTTAGCACAAGTATGTGTATCCTAATGGGACTCTTGATACCCTAAACCACCGATAAAGAGTTTCATGACAGACATATTCATCCGCTAAAGTTTGTTACAAATAGAAAAAGATAATTTACGGGCATTTTATTAGCTAACTAAGAATTAAGGTCATATTTCCAAAAGTAAACTATTAGAATTATAAGCAAAAGAAAACACTGCGTGGTTAAAGAACGAAATATTTTGTGAACATACTTTAGTATACGACAACGATTTTGTATACGGCATTTTTTTGCATAGTTATAAGACTCCTTGGTTACATGTTATGATAAAATGCGTTTTTTGTATTGTGTGCGTTATTTTGTGCTGTCGTTGCCAGACATTCACACTGAGAACACATTTTTTATGTTGATTATCATTTCATTGAGTTTTGAGCGTATGTATAGAGTAATAGCTGAAGACAGCATTACGAATTTTGAAATAGGACACATTATCGATGGCTACTTCTAACAATATTTGGTAACAATGTTACTAGTAATATCGAATCGACAAATTACTACGAGTAAAACAGCCCAAGAGTATTGTGCGCAATCATTTAGTTTCAAAATTATACAGTGTGCGTATCATTAGATTTTCGTATTATCTCGCTCTGCTTATCCACGGCGTGCGTCCGCTCTCAGCGCTGCGATACCGATTTCACTAGTAATTTCCGCACATAGTACCGACCCCCGATCAAAGAACTCACGTCCAATTGAGGAAATGAAAATCCCTCTCGTTTAAATTGTACGCCGAGATGTACGCTACGATTTAACATTTCTGCTTTAAATTTGCTATTAAAACGTATTTGCAACGTTAAATATTTGCCTTAGCAAGGTGTTCATATTGATCACTCGGTCATTGATATTTACTCTCAAAATACGTTACAAAAAAATCCGATCACTTGAATTTTAGTTTTTAATAGACACCAATATACATATACATATATTGACTTTTACACGCGTAAGTCGTAGGGGTTAATACGCGCTTCAGCTGGTACACGAATTTTGTTTAAGTCGTCCACGTGCTAACGAGCGCAAGCGTGTAACCAACCAGTATACGCCAAATACCAAAATTCCAACGCACGCTTCACTCGCGCTTAATGCGCTCTTAACTCCTACCATGTGAATGTATTCTTACAGAATTTACCAAAAAATTCGAATATTTTTCATCTAATATCATTGATACTGCGATGGTTATCGTGAAAATCTATCCATTTGTCTCGAACTGAAGCGAAATTAATCCTCGAAATATTATGTCTCAGAATGTTGTATGTAAGAATTGATTCGAATAGATTCGAAGCATCGTGAAGGTTTAATAAAGAACAATAGAATCAATTTTTATGTGATTGGCCATTGTCTTGCGTCATTACTATTTTAGGACTAAATGACTAAAGAAATAATTTGTGTTTTTTTGCAGAGACCATGCAACTGTCAGCGGGCGCGAAAACGCTGCCATTGTTTTCGACCGCACAGTAACGAAATATGGCTCTTCTCGAGATACTCCACAGGCTGGAAGTGAGTACTTTTAAAAACCCATCGGAGTAAGGAATTTTTTAAATATTTAAAGTTACTCTCGAACAATTTTTTTGTATGGCTTAGGCCCTACAAGCTGTGTCAACTTGAACACGTGGTTCATTAGAATTCCGTGTTGTTCTCTCTGTGGCGACAAAGTGTTGAAGTAGTACGATAAATTCATGTCGTGATAATTATTTCGAACCCTATATTTGAAAATGAATTATTATTCTGCTAGGCATGGAACAACAGGGGCGTCTGATTACATCAGCGTTGCCGTCGGCGCCGTCAACGACTTGTCCTTGAGCCCATCGTTGGCCTTTCCTGTTTTGGACATGCAAATGTGCCGAATGTACATAAATAATAGGTATTTGATATATTTCAACTATGCAAATCACTTCTCCGGCCTATTGTTCGCCGCCCTTGGGGATTATAAGGCCGTCCGGACGTGGCGAGCATCACTGATTGAAAACAAATTTCGGTTTGATTACGTCTGACCCTATGTAGTGATCGTAAGCGTTTGTATGCAGACCGAACTGTACATACACCAGTAATCAAATGTCGAACACACAGGTTCGAGACAGTCATAGGATTTAATGGATATTGGATAATATCTATTTGTAGAGGCCTCCATGGTGGGAAATTATCATGGAAACGGCTTTGTGGTACCTAAGCCACTTTAATCGCTCAGAGACAGCATTTATGTGAAATTTATCTTATTTATTTTAGACAGACTATACAGGTCTAGACGCTGATAATAATACCTATTCGGTAACCGTGAAAATATTTTTGCTTTCACATATTTTTGCTACACAAAATGTTTTGTATTATATATATACACACATACAGCTTGCCAAGAATGTAGACAGGGTTTTAATTGTTTTCTTTTGTGAATCTCGGAAAATACTTAAATACTAAAAACATTTGTGACACCGAGTGACCATAACCACCGATCTTCTAGGACTACTTTGTGGTTCATCGACGATGTCAATTTTGTCGCGTCCTAAACTGTCTCATTGTCATGCCAGTCATAAATTAACCGCCTATCACGTGGTTTGGCCACTTAATTCGAGTTCACCGGTGGTCTGTCTAACACATAACACGTACAATTTATAATCTATAGTCGACATTGGTTTTTTGGTTGCGTAATTTCTATAACTTAGGTGTAAATTTAACGAGATTGTTGATTGACTAACCCCTAAGTTTCTTAAGCGTCAAGTAGGTTTTTAAGATACTCCCTTAAAAGGTAATATGGAACATATTTAACAAGCAAGCTGTTGCAATAAGGAAACAAGTTAATGATCACATTTCATTCTCGTTCGTCATAAAAAGCTATTATCTAGAAGAATATTTTCTTTTTATCTAAAAGGGAAAATTTTGTTTGATCAATTTTCAACGAAAATAATCTTATTTCTCACACCCACCCTATATCGACCGCACTCGGGCGGGTGTTATCGCCTGAACTGAATTTTTATTGGGTCTAAAAATATTATCTATGCTCCGTATTTAATTTACCGAAGGACAGGCAGGACACTGCTAATTTTCATAACACTTCAGAATATTGAGTTCTTTTATAATAAAAGCTTTTGTGAGTGGTATTATGCAATTATACCCGCATATATCTAATAAATATTTAATATTGAAATATAATCGATTTGTAATAAACTTAGTCCTTTCAATACTTTAATTTTGAAGTACAAAAACGTTGCTGATTCGATACATAATAACAATCGTTTTTTTTTCAGGGTAAATTTAAATCGATTTGAAAAAGTAAATGGGTAATTTTAGGTTTAAATAAAGATTATCAATTATCTTATCTTATACACTTAACTATTTTATACATATCTATTTAATCGATAGTCAAAATATTTTGTGGACCTGTTCTAGTAGTTAGCGATCCTAACTGCTAAGACAGAGTTCGATTCCCACGCAGGTCAAATATTATTTGTTTTGTGTCTGGATGTAGTTTATCCATAATATTATTATAAATACATATTTCAACATTTTATTCAAACTAAGCAAGAAATAATTATGTTAATTAGCAGGCTGGTTACCGCAGTAAGTACAGGCGAAGTAAGCTACACGGTCGTCTGATCCTAAAGATCGGACGGCCGTGTGTAAGACGTGTTAATTTATAAAAAAAGTTTAACAAACTCTGGCGTAGATACGTTTTCAAGCAATAATCGGAAAGAAAATAATAAATATATTAGAATTTTAAGAATATTCGAAAATGTAAACTTAAAAATTCAATGACAAGAATTTATTACATTGTTTTTGTTACAAGAACCGTTTTGACAACTGTCAAAATTACAATGGGTAATTTATTTTACACATATACACACAGGTAGAGTACGTTTAGGACCACGTAACGATCTATTGAAATAGGGACGACCAATTTGAATATTTTATCTATTATTCCAAGCGTCTCTTACAAAATAGAAATACTGCCGTACTAACTGTCAACAAGACTCACACTGTCCGTTTCTTTTTATATACACATACATCCAGGGGCTCTAATAGGAATTTCCAATGTTGAAGCTATTTAAAATAATACTTGTTTGTTTAATGCGCGACAAAGTAGTTAAGAATATTCTCACGGGTGATAGGTGGCTATGCTATCTCTGATGACTTGTAAGGCTATTAATTTAGTTGTCGTCGACAGCACCGTCGGACCTCCCAAGTAGTGTCGTACAGCGGGAGGTCTTAGTTTTCCCCTGCTTGTTTGGAGCTAGTTGTTTAGGCCGAGATTACACTGATTGTAATTTCTAATGTTTTCTCACTAATGCGTTATACATTACTGTTTGGGTAACCATGTTGCTTAAATAGTAGAGCTCTATTAACCGGTACTTCGAGTTAGACATATTATTGCTTAATATGGGATAAATGCTGGATTATGATCTAGGCTTGTTATTACTGAAGGCCATCTTGTTTTATGCAATCGCTTTGATACGGAGTATGTAGTTCGTGTTACTTATCATGATCCCTCTTGGCTGTTTGTTTATGCACAACTGCACCACACATAATTATTTATTGCAGTTAAATATAACATGTACTTTAATTTTAAAATATTATTAAGTAAAAAATATTAAGATATAGATAGATATGTATCTTTATGCTAATGCAGATTTCTTATTTGCAAGAAAATATGTTTTATACTAATAAATCTAAATTAATTTGTTTAATATAGACAACCGTTAAAAATGAAGGGAGTTAGTATAAATACAATACTTTTTGTTAACGTTTGGACTAGCCCGTTGGTTTAGTGGTTAGTGATCCAGACTGCACATCCAGGGGTTAGATTCCCATCCAGGACAAACAGTTGTGGGATGAGCCTGAACATTTGTTATGTGTGTAGGTGTAATGTGTATAAAATATGTATGGATTTAGAAATATTTAAAAATTTAAGAATCTTTATCAGCAGTCTGGTTACCATTGCACAGGTTCCGCCTAGTTTGGGATCAGACGGCCGTGTGTAAGATGTTAAAGATATATGGCGAGATTTTATGCGTTACAATATTCACATACATAATATGTTTGTAATTATTTATACAATATAAAGGATGTGGCTTAGCTTCCAAGTGGCACAATACTGAGCTAACGACTTTTTTGACTCACGCAGAGGTATCAATGCCATTAAAATTACTTGCCCTAAATGACTGGATTCATCAACGCAACGCCAAAAAGCTGAGGGTACAAACTTGAAATTTTGTATTTATTTAAAAACTGAGAAAGTATTTCTGAAAACTTCACCCGCTAGGGGGGATAAAACAAGGGATGAACGGTTGAACCACATAACGACAAACTTAAATTTTGTCGTTATGTGGTTCGTCATGAGTATGTATGAATGTGTTGTATATGTCGGCGATTTTCTTAAAAAGCAATGGAACAATTTTCAAGACGCCTCACATTTTCAGGAAGATCATTTACGTACTTTATGAACTTAAGGTGTAGTTTTATTTTAAAACAAATAGTAAAACAGTTATACATTTCATGCTGTGTGAAAACTATATGGTTAATCTATTTTATAATGCCCCTTTTAAATATTATGGCAATGTTCTTACACAATAAACAACAAACCTTTTATTTAAAAGGATTTCTCTCAAACCTAAAATTTTACTCCTATGTCTATTTAAACAGATGTATTCAAGGAATCCTAGCGTGTTAATCAAACTTGTGCTTAGAAATGCGAGCTGTTAAAGAGACAGGCGGGTATCGGGGCCGCCATCTGATCAAATATCTTACTAGCGTGCAGTTACGCGGAACTCATTCCGTCAGTTAATGGTAGCGTCAATATTAGAATGGTATCAGTGTTTAAATTGGTGGCGATTCTAAGGAGGCGGTTGTCTCTGTAGACTGTCTGTACTTTATCTATATAGTAGTCAATCTGTCACGTGGTAGACAAACTGTGTTATCGGTACAATCGTAAATTAACTTACATTATCTATCTTGACTCACAAACGCTTTGCTCTGTATGCGAAGGAAGCTGGTGATCCGATAAACTCGTTCTTTTGTTTATTTACAATGTTTAAGAAGTTTTGATTTAAGTTATTAGGATTTGTTTATTAATGTAAGATATTGTCAAACGTGACAGCTTAGTTATAATTAAGATAAGTATGTATGCAAGTTTCTTTAATGCTTACGAATTTTTCTTAAGAATATTAATTAGACAACGCAAAAAAAGAACTTAGCTGAATCGACTTTTCATATCGTACGTTCAAGTAATTTATTAAGCTCATGTAAAGTAAAAATTTACTTTATAATGTCTTTGTTGGCCATCTTAACTAAAGATATGCCGTAAAAACAGAATACTGTAGATGTTAAGATTCGTCAATACAAAGAATGCTTTAAATGTTTTTATTTATTGCTTGGTTAAAACTCCATATGATAAATTAAAACCTTGAAATAAATACTCGTAACACAAGTATATAAATAAACAATAGCTAAATATTGTTTTTAATGTTCATCAATGTAAAAAGCTCTTAGAGTGATCAGAAGTATGCTGA